ACCAGTCCTATTTTGGTTTCATTTGTTTTTCTAGGGTTTTGTTTTTGCTTTTTGGTTTTTTTGTAGACAGGGTCTCATATAGCCCAGATTGGCCTCAAACTTGCTTTGTAGCTGAGAATGACCTTGGACTCCAGATCTTCCTGCTTTCACCTTGGAAGTGCTGGGATTATAGGCGTGCACTGCCATGTCATTTATGTGTACTGAAGATTGAACCTAGGGCTTCACAAATGCTAGGCAAGCACTCTACCAGCTGAGCCAACCAGCCTGTGTGCCAACCTGCCTCCCTCCTCCCTCTCTTTCTTTTGAAAGCTCAAGGACCATTTTAGAGTTTTTGAGAAAAACAGGCAAATGAACTGTAAATTTTAGCCTCTGTCAGAGAAGGTAGTAGAAAGGGGAGATAGCTATTCCTTTTGAGTTAAGATCTAAGAAAGCCAGCTAGTTCAGCAGTGGTGGTCAGCAAGCATCTGTGTGTGGTGGGGGCAAGGTCTTGTTTTATTTTTATTTGTTGCTGTATGTAATTGATTTTTTGTCATGCAATACCTGAGGAGGTCAGAAGATGGCATTATAAAAGGGCATTGCTTATCCTTGCTGAAATTTAAAAAAAAAAAAATTTTTTTTGCTTTATTTTTATTTTGTGTATGCATGAGCTGGCTGTCTTGCTGGCCATCTTGGTATGTTTTAATGGGATATTATATCTATAGCTAAAGAATCTAGGTACCAGTGTTGTTTCACAAAAGTGCCCAAAGAACAATTATGTGTGTTTGTTTGGAATCAGGATCTTAGTTTGTAGCCCAGACTGGCCTAGGATTTGAATCAGTTCTCTACTTTAGCCTGGGAAGGGGTGAGATTATATTATAGGCTTGAGCCATCCTGTCCAGCTCCAGTGATGTCTTTCGCAAAAGGGCATTGCTTATCCTTGCTGAAATTTTCTTTTTAAAAAAATGTTTTGCTTTATTTTTATTTTGTGTATTGCATACATGTATGCAAATGCACCCAGGTCGTGCAGTGCCTACAGAGGAGAGGAGAGGGTGTCAGATCTTCTGGAACTGGAGCCACCATGTGGGTGCTGGGATTTGAACCTGGCTCTTCTGCAAGAACGGCCAGTGCTCTTAACCACTGAGCCATCTCTCCAGCCCTGACCTGAAATTTTTTTTTCTTTTTTTAAAAAAATATATTTTATTTTATGTGTATGCGTGTATTGCCAGCATGGGTAAGTGGACCCGTGTCGTGCAATGCCTGCAGAGGACAGAAGAGGCTGTCGGATCCCCTGGAACTGGAGTTATGAATTGAACCCGGGTCCTCTGCAAGAGCAGTTAGTGCTCTTAACTGCTGAGCCATCTCTCCAGTTTTCATTTTTTCAAAAAATATTTTATTTAGTACTTTTTATTATTTTATGTGTATCTGATACCACATGGCTGGAAAGAGAAGAGTACCGTGAATGCTCTTGGGAAGCTTTGTATTGGTAATGTTTGGTTTTGTTTGAAATATCAAACTGTGATTTACTTGAAGTAAATCATCAGATATCCTCCTCACCCTCTGTGCTCAGTCCTTCATCCCATCTTTCTGTCTAAGAGGACCACCATTAATAGTGGAGTGCGTATTCTTCCATTCCTTTGGCTTTACCCAAATATAGTCAGATGTCCTGAGAGCTGTCCAGGGGGCCTTTTTTTCCCCAAGAACTCTCTCCAGAGCTCTTCTGCTCTCCATTAACTTTGCTTGCCTTTCAGCTGGCCATTTCCTGTTTGGACCTATGTAGAGGAACTTAGCCACAGAAATAGACTTGCTTTCTTTTTTTTAGGTCCAACTGGCCTTGAACTCATAGATATCCGCCTGCCTCTGCCTCCTGAGTGCTGGGATTAAAGGCATGTGCCACCACGCCCAGCTCAGACTTGTTTTTAAGAAACTTGAACTGTGTAGGCAATAGCTCAGTATTCGTACCCTGTTTTCCCCTTAAACCTCCTTGTTCCTTGGGATAATGTGTAGAAACAAGAAGCTTGTGAGATCATTGACTCTGTATTCAAAATGCTCTTTTCCAGGTGAGGTCAGTTTATTGGCTCCCTAAATAAGTTCCTTGCAAGTTGCTGATTAGTGGATCAACTGATGTTGGATCATTTGGATGTACTAAGTATGAATGCATTTGCCTGTTTTTAAGTAATGTGTAATATATGGCTAAAGTATGTAAACTGAATGAAAATAATAGTTTGTTGAGACTTTTTGTAATTTATGAAATTGTGAACCGCTTTTATGAGTTTTGATTTTGGGTATGTAAAAAAAAAATAGGGGCTGGAGAGATGGCTCAGTGGTTAAGAGCGTTGGCTACTCTTGCAGAGGACCTGGGTTTGATTCCCAGGACCCACATGATGGCTAACAACCGTTTGTAACTCCAGTTCCAGGGGATTTGATGCCATCTTCTGACCTCCTCAGGTATTGCATGACACAGGTGTACTTACATACATGCAGGCAATACACTCATACACAATAATAACATTAATTTTTTTTACTTTTTAAAAAATATTATTTTTATTTTATGTATAGGAGTATATTGCCTACATGTATGTGAGTGCACCCGTGTCATGCAATGCTGCGGAGGTCAAAAAAGAGCTTCAGATTCTCCTGGAACTGCAGTTAAGGACGGTTCATAGCTGCCATGTGGGTGCTGGGAATCAAACCCGGGTCCTCTGCAAGAGCAGTCAGTGCCCTTGACCATGAGCCATCTCTCCAACCCCTAAAAAAAATTTCTTTTTTTTTTTTTTTTTGGTCTTTTTGAGACAGGGAACTTGCTATGTAGACCAGGCTGGTCTCCAACTCACAGAGATCTGCCTGCCTCAGCCTCCCAAGTGCTGGGACTAAAGGCATGTGCCACCACATCTGGCCTAGGCTTTCTCTTTTTGATTTGCATTAAAAGGCAAGCCAGCTGGGTATGGTGGTGCACACATTTAATCCCAGGATCTAGGAGACAGAGGCAGGAGATTTCTTTGTGAGTTCAAGGCCTGTCCTGTATAGCAGGCTCCAGGCTAGCCAGGTTAAATAGTAAAACCTTGTCTTTTAAAAAAACAAAACAAAAAAGGCAAGCCAACTAGGTGTCTTGCCACTGTGCTCAGTGTTCATGGCACCTAGTGGGATGCAGACAGGTAAAAATAAGCAGTATATACAAAAGGAAGGGTATAATATCTCTGTGGTATTTTACAGTGGGGTGCTGACCTAATTGTGAGGGAAGGTAGGATTGTCTATGTTGTTGATAGGTTTGTGGCATGCTGTTACACACTTCACCCACGAAGGCCTGGGCCAGCATTTATTTGTAAAGACATGGAGGTCTGAGATAGCATAGGTGTGTGGGCAGTCATTAGTGGGGTTACTTTTCAGAAGGTACCATCCTGAAATTTTACTTCTTAGCCTATGACTTTGGTGTTACATTGGGTTCCTGAAAGAGAATTGAGTTGGGACCATGAGTCTGTTGAATATGCCTAGCATACACACATGCATGCGTATGTGCAGTCTTGTGACATCATTGTCAGGGCTTGACTCTTCCTATTATTTGGGCTTCTCTGTCACATGTGCCTAGGGTAATTGTCTCTTAGATGGTATTTTCATTATTTGGGTTCTTTTCCTGTAAAGGCTGACCTATAGGGAGTCTTTCTCAGGGAGAGTACAAAAATGTACAACATATTACTGCCCATATTCAAAATGATGGTGAGCTAAAAACAGTATAAATGCTAAAACTAGATTTTGAGGCCAATAATCACAAAATGGAGTGACAAAAAAAAAAAAATGTAATTCCACACAAACCCGAATAATGTGGCCATTACTCTGATCAAAATACAAAGTCCTCCCCTATTTTTGTGTTATAAATAAAAATGAATAAAAATCTCTGCTAATTCCTTCTCTAGCTGTTTTGATAAGGATACCAGGATTCCATTATCTGGTATTATTAATAATAATAGGTGTTATTTTCTCTGGATGTGGTCATGCAGGCAGATACACCTTTTCCCACAGCCACGAAACCTAGAGATTATTTTATGAGTTCTATTTAGAGAATGATGATGATGAAGAGATTATTGTGAGCCCATAACTACAAGATTGGTTCAGACTCTGCATTAGAGGAAACATTGAAAGAGAAAACATGCAAGGCAGGTTCTCCAGCCCCAAGAGCAGCCCAAACTGAAGTCTGGGCTCTGGAGTAGAGAAAGCAGCTCTTCTCTTCTTGCTGCCTCTCTCTTCTGCTCCCTCAACTCTGTTCCATTATGGCTGCTGTGAATAAAGTCACCATAAGTAAAATAATGTTGGTGTCTAGTTCCAGACTCTTTCCTCTTTTTCCTACCAGCATGTGAGCTGGAATTTCAGTCTGTGTGGTTGACTAGATTTCTGAAGAGATGAAGTTGCTGTCTCTGCTCTAGAATAAACTTCAAGGGTAGCAGGGAAATTCTCTGATTCTATCTGAACTTGCCTTGTTAAAAAAAAAAAAAAATGGACCAGATCAAAGACCGCTGAGAGGTAGAGTGTAGAGCAGTAAATGTGCTCTCAGTAACCTTTGAGACTTCAGAATTAGTTGAGAGGAAAATACTGGCCTGTCTCTGCCACTTTCCAATTTGCTTTATTAGGTATGGGGAAGCCATTCAGGTAAGGTCCTGGGTGGGGACAGGCAACTACTTTTTAAAAATACATATATATTTGTCTTTGTTCTTTGACAATTTCACACATATATATAAGGTATCTTGATTGTATCCACTTGTAACTTTTCTTTAAGAGAGGGCGAGCTTTCAGAGAATGTGGACATATGAGTAGCCTTACACTGTTGGACCCTTTAAAGTCTTACTTCATAAAGCCAGATTTGATCCACAAGGGCAGCAGGAAGATCCCTGTAAATACATTGTTCTTCTCCCAAGGGCCACAAATGATGATGAAGACCTTTTGTTCAAAAATGCTAAAGCAAGATCCTATTGCTTACCTGAGGACAATCCTCTCCAGCCTGTAGCATTCTCAGCCATTTCTCTCCCCCGCAGGCTGACGGATTCAAGGATGCAGCTGGTGCTCCTGGAGGTGTGTGGCATCTTACCTGAGTCAGGCCATGGATCCATGAGGCCATGATGTGGGCCCCTTATGGCCTCCGCAGGAACAGAGTACTACAGTATTGGCCTCCGCCGAGGAAACACCTTCAAGCAGAGCAGTCCCTCAGGCACAGGGACACCATCATCTGAGAAATCCTCAGAGGGCAAAGTCTGGTCTCAGGCCCATCAGCAGGTGAAGCCAATCTGGAAGCTGGAGAAGAAACACGTAGGCACGCTCTCTGCAGGGCTGGACACCAGTCTCTTGGGTATCCCACCCCAGCCAGCCTATTTCTTTTGCCCTAGCACCTTATGTAGCTCTGGGACCACAGCTGTCATTGCAGGTCACAACAACCCCTGTTACCTGCAGTCTCTCCCAGACTTATTCAGCAATACTCTGCTGTACCGCTGCAACGTGAGGCAAAAACGATACCAGCAACTGGAATCTTTCTGCTTGCATTCAAGCCCATCAGCAAAAAGATCTTTTTCTCTCCCTCAGAAAGGTCTCCCTGTCAGTGTCACTCCCAGTAAAGCTACATCTTTTACAGTCTTCCCTATGGCCCAGTCCATGGCATCTTCACCGACCGATCCATACCTCTCATTGGCAGCAGCCGGGGAAAACCCTTCAAGGAAGAGCCTACCTTCTGCTATCTCAGGGAAGATTGTATCTCCACTGTCCTCTTACAAGCCCATGCTGAGTAACAACTCCTTCATGCGGCCAAATAGCACTAAAGTGCCTTTATCACAGGCCACAGAAAGCCTGAAGCCAGTATCCTCACCCAAGATCCAATCTGTCTCGTGGCATCATTCAGGGGATACTGGAGACTGTGTACCTCAGCTTGGTGACCATAAGGTGCCCAAAAGCATTGGCACTGTGCTAGATGATGCTACTGCCCATATCATCCCATCTATTCCTGGCATCCTTAACATACCTGCCGCTAGTGTTGCCTCTTCCCAGTGCGGCCAGAATAACTTGGCCTTTAGGACAGAGCCACATTCCTGTTGCCTGGATGACAACCTGGATTCCCAGACTGCTACTAAAGAGGTTCGGTTCACTGAGGCTGTGAGGAAGTTGACAGCAAAGGGCTTTGAGAAGATGCCACGGCAAGGGTACCAGTTTGAACAGACTTGTTTTGTGAACCCCAGAGTCCAGTGGGGCCTCCTCAACAGGAACAGGCGGTGGAAACCTCTTGTGGGCCAGCGGTTTCCTCGGGAGGATACTGGATCTGATGGTGGGATCCTTCCTGGTGCCTCGGACACCGTGGGGTTGGACAGTACAGTGTTCTGTACCAAAAGGATCAGCATTCACCTCCTTGCCTCACATGTCCAAGGGCTCAATCCCAGCCCTACCTGTGGGTCTGTAAGTGACCCCCAATCACTTGGAGAAGACAGAGTTCCTGCTCCCCCTTCTCCCCTTCAGCCTCTTGGTGCAGCTGAAGTAGCCACTCGCCTTTCTTCAATCCATCTTGGCCAGCCTGGGAAGGAGCCAGAGGAAGCCAGGGAGTTGAACTCATTTGTTAGGGATGTTCGGTAAGTTGCACAGTGTTTTTGGTTCATTTAGAGCAGTACAATAGCTACTGTATAATTTGATGACACTGATACCTTATGTCTCTGATGGTTAGTTTTAGTTTTTAGCTGTCTTAGACATTTTGGTTTTCATTCTAAAGTAGGAATTCACTCTAAGGCAAGGATTGGAAAACTGCAGTTTTCAGGCTAAATCCTGCTTTGTAAACAAAGTTCCATTGGAATGCAGCCATGTCCATTTATTTACTGTTGTCTATAGCTGCTTTGTTGTTACAATAGAATTGAGTAATTGTGACAGACTAAATGACCTGCAAAGCTGAAAATATTTACTCTTTGGTCTTTTGGAGAGTTTGCTGATCCCTGTGTTAGGTTATAAGCTAGGGGAGAAATATGAATTCCAGACACCTGGCTGGAGAGATGGCTCAGTGTTTAAGGGAACTGGCTGCTCTTGCAGAAGACCTGGATTCAATTCTCAGCACCCACATAGCAGCTAACAGCTGTCCATAACTCCATTTCCAGGGGATTTGATGCTCTCTTCTGGTTTCTTCAGGCACTGCATGCATTTACATACATGCAGGCATAACCCTCATACACATAAAAGTAAATTAATAAGCTGGGCATGGTGGTGCATGCCTTTAATCCCAGCACTTGGGAGGCAGAGGCAGGTGGATCTCTATGAGTTCAAGGCTAGCCTAGTCTATATAGTGAGTTCCAGGACAGCTGGGACTTATAGGGAGACCCTATCTCAAAAAGACTAAAAATAAAAAAATAAATAAATAAAAATTAAAAAAAAAAAAAAAGAATTCCAGATACCACGTGTTGGGGGCTGTGACTTTTCCTACTTCAAACCAAATTAGGTTCTCAAGGATTCCTAACGACAGTAATTCAGAATTGAGGACACAGGCATAGTTGCATCTTTTTACTTTCTAGAACTTGATTTACCAAGGCCTTCTGAGTTCCCAGTGAGCAGCCCAGGGACACGTGAATCACCAGATAGTTATTGATGGCTTTTGTATGCTTTTGTATACTTATGTACTATGAGAGACTTCAAAGAAAATGGAAGGCATAGTGTATATGCAGATGGTGTGCATAAGGCCAAGGAACTAGAGATGGACCTAAACTCTGAGGACCAGAGAAATAGTTCATGAGGACCAGGCAAGAGATAGCAGATTGGTAATAATAGGAAGAGACAATTGCCAGGAGATGGTGAAGGAAGGAGAATCTATCTATGACTTCTTTTATGCAGTTGGCTGGGCTGGGGGCATGATTCTTTTCTTTCAGTTCAGCTACTGACCTCCAGCCAAACCAGGTGGAGCCTGATAATCCAGAAGAAGAATTAGGAGATGGTTTGGAAGACTCTTGCAGCCATGATGAGAATGAAGAGGAAGGTAAGTAAGGAACCCATTCACTTCCTGCTGTGAACTTAGTACCACCCACTAGGGAAGCAGGCTGACAACTGTGCCAGGTCCCATCTCACCTGCACCAATCATTTGCTTTGGGGGCCTGAATGGGGAGTTTGTGAGGAGCTTTGGTTTCTAGTCCTTCTGTCCCACTGATCTTGCCTCCTCTCTGCTTCTGTTAAGTTCAAGGATGACAATGCAGGGCAGCAGGGTGGTGACCATTGCTCCTCCAAGAAGGGCAGAGCCTAGGATGTTCCAGAAGGAGTTGCCTGGGCTTGTTGAGTATTTGCAGCAGCCTCTTTCAGTCAGATTTCTCTGCTTTTCCTCCCCAGGAGACTCCGAGTGTTCCTCTTTAAGTGCTGTCTCCCCCAACGAGTCGGTGGCTGCAATATCTCGGTGAGTGCTGTGTAGCTCATTGACAGGTGCTTATTTCTGGCTTGGAAGATTGTAATGACATAACCATAGTTTTTGAACAGAGGGGAGTGGAGAACCATAGGCATACTTGTCAGTTCGACTTAGAAACAGTACCATGTTTCTTAGGTTGCACTTTGGTCCTGAGATTCCAAGTAATTGTTTAACAAGAAAGAAATAACTTTAAGAAGTTTTTCAAAAAAATGCATAACACGGGAAAGTGGCAACTGGAAATAAAATACTTGGATCTTAAAAAAAAAAAAAAAGCATAATAATGCTGATGATGTGGCTTAGGGGGATAGCATACAGGTGGCATGTGTGATGCCTTGGGCTCAATCCCCAGCACTGCCAGAAAGAAAAACAGCATAAACAGATACTCAAAGTAAATTCTCAGTCCCTTAAGCCATCTACATATGATAATTGCCAATTTTGCTATAAATTGATATCATTATTAGAAGTACTTCTAAGATAAGAGCTTTTAAAGCTGAAGACGCCTGTGAACCCAAAGATCAGGAGTTAAAGGCCAGCCTCTGATACATAAGGAATCAGAGGCCAATCTGGAACTGCATGAGACTTTGTCTCAGGTAACCAAAGGGGTGAAGGGAAGATGGGGAGGAGCTTTTTTTTTTAAAAAAAAGTTTTATTTATTATATTTATTTTTGTGTGTATGAGTGTATTGCTTGCATGTATGTGAGTGCACCTATGTCGGGCAATTCCATGGAGGTCAGAAGAGGGCTTCAGATTCCCCTGGAACTGGAGCTGGAGTTAAGGACGGTTCGTAGCCGCCATGTGGGTGCTGGGACTTTAACCTGGGTCCTGCAAGAGCAGCCAGTGCTCTTAACCATTGAGATATCTCTCCAACCTGGGGAGGAGCTTTTAAAGGCTCTTTACATTAGGAAATAAGACTGATGTTAACCTGAGGATAAGAAATTAAATTTAAAATACTGTAGCTTTCATCCAGATGGTGTTATTGAATGCATTTGATGGGCTCTGAGTGGTGTTTGTTTTTATATAAGGAACCAAATAAGTTGGTTTGGTGGTATTGGGGATTCATGGCCTCATGCATACTAGACCAGCACTAAATCCCCAGCCTGAGTCAGTCTCTTAACAGAAGTCCTTTTGTAGAGCAAATACTCTGGGATGCTACGTAGCTGTGTGAGGGGAGATAAAAGCATGGCACAAAAGACTTTTAGAACTTGCAAAAGTACCATTTAAGACATTTTTGATCCAGCAAGATGGTTCCACACATAAAGACACTTGACAACCTCAGTTTGATCCTGGAAACACCCCTCCCAAGTTGTCCTCTTGACTGCCACATGTGCACTTTAGCACACATAATACACACACACACATACACACAACTAAATAAATGTTATAAAAATTAAAAACTTTTTTGTTTGGTTTCGGTTTTTTAAATTATTTTATATTTTATTTATATTCTATTTCTATTTTATGCGTATGACTTTTTCGTCTGTATGTATGTAAGTGTGCCACATACACATGGTCCACAGAAGCCAGATGAGGGAGTTGGATCCCTTGGAACTGGAGTTTAGGACAGCTGTGAGCTACAGTGTGGGTGTTGAGAACTGAACTCAGGTTCTCTGCAAAAGCAGCCAGTGCTCTTGACTGCTGAGCTATCTCTCCTGTCCTCACCTCCCCACCTCCTTTTTCTTTTGAGACAGGGTCTCCCTGTAGCCACAGCTGACCTGGAGCTCACTATGTAAACCACACTGGCCTTGATGGTGGATAGCTATTGAATTATTTAAGAAACTGCCAGGATTGTTTTCTAGGTTGACTATGTCACATTATAGTCTTGTATCTCAGCTCATTCTTCAATGTTCTTTGTTGTCTAACCAGACATGGTGGTGCATGTCTATAATGCCAGTGGTGGGTGCCTGAGGCAGGAAAATTGGGAGTTTGAGACCAGCCTTGCCGTAGAGATTCTTTTGTCTTCATAAATAAATGAATGAAATGCGTAATAATTCTAAGATATGAAATAGAAATATTTTGCATTAATACCTATTTCTGTTGTACTGAAAATAGCAACAGTGACTCTTTTTGTTTTTGGTCTTTTTGAGACAGGGTCTCCCAGTAGCCCTAGCTGGCCTGGAACTCACTATGTAGATCAGGCTGGCCTTGAACTCAGAGATCTACCTGCTTCTGCCTCCCGAGTGCTGGAATTAAGAGTGCTGGGATTAAAGGTGTGCGCCACCATACCTGGCCTTTTTTTTAAAAAAAAAATTTTTTTAATGCTTTTATGCGTGTAAGTGCACCCGAGCCATGCAGTGCTTGTGGAGGCCAGAAGAGAGCATCAGATCTCCTGGAACAGGAATTATAGTCAGTTGTTAGCCACCGTGTGGGTGCTGGGAACCAAACTCAGGTCCTCAGCAAGAACAGCCAGTGCTGAGCCATCTGTGCAGACATTGATTCTGTTTTAAAAAATGGTCTGGGCCAGTGGCTTGTACCTGATAGATGGCCGAGTTACTGTGCTATTGCCCTTTGAGAGCTGAATCAACAGTAGATCCCCCACAGTCCAGGGTCCTGGCACATCTGTCTGTGGGATCTAGCTGTGCTGCCATGTTACATGAAAATCCAGAGAGAAGAGCTTGTGCCAGCTGTGTCTTCACATGAACAAGGGGTCTTACCGTTGCTTTTCTTTCTGTTGCTCTTTTTCTGTATCTATTAGACCTTTTGTATTTGTATTCTTTTTGTTGTTGTTCTTTTTGGGACAGGGTCTCTTTGTAGCCCCAGCTGTCCTAGAACTCACTATGTAGACCAGGCTGGCCTTGAACTCACATAGATCTGCCTGCCTCTGCCTCCTGAGTGCTGGGATTAAAGGCATGCACCACCATGCCCAGTGTTTGTATTCTCTTTAAATCCTCGTTTTTCTCCTCTCATCTATTTCTTTATCATGGTCTCCTACTAGTGTCCACCAAATTATCCTCTTTCAGAACTCTGTCAGAGACCTCCCTAACCTGTGGCTAGTCACAGGACATGTTGGAGATAAGTTATCAGATGAAGTGTTGGGAACCCTTGAGTGTGTTTTAATGATGGATGTGGCTATAAGTAGGTCAGTTCTAGCACTGTATGGGTTCATATTTGCAAAATAATTATTGAGCACTCATCTTTTCAGTACTGTGTACTAAGCTGTAACACCTCAGCTTAGGGCTGTTGCTTTCCTTTCTCTGTCATTTTTTTTTTTTTTTTCATTATAGGAACTGTGTGGATTTAATGAGTAAATCCCTTGCCAATCATGAGAAAGTTGTCCGACCAGCCCTTGTCTATAGTCTCTTCCCCAATGTGCCCCCTACCATCTATTTTGGGACTCGTGATGAGAGAGGTAAATGTGACCAAGTGACCAAGCCCAGAAAAGCACCTAGGAGAGGGTTGCCAGCCAACTTGGATGGGGGGCAGTTGGGTTGAGAATGCTTTCAGAATGTTCAGTTAAAAAGGCTGTTCCCTATACTTAGTTCCCACGTGGCTGTAGGTCCAACGAGGGGACTTTTCTGGTCTGTCCTTTAGTTGTCCCTTCTCAGCCTCATAACCTCTGGCTTAGCTCAGGACCTCTGACCTTACTTCTTTCCCTTTTCCAACCTCTCCGAGATTTCTTTGCTCCTTATTCCTGCACAGCTCTTTCTTACCCTAAAGTGTACTCCTCTGAAACCTTATCTGGAACAATTTGTAGTGATTTGCCTCCTCAGGAAAGGATGGGCACAGTGCCATCTTTTTCATCACCTCACCATAATTCTCCTGCTCTTCACCCCCTGCCCCTGTCCTTGCCCCTCCCCAGTGGAGAAACTTCCCTGGGAACAAAGGAAGCTACTCCGATGGAAGATGAGCACAGTGACCCCCAACATTGTCAAGCAGACCATTGGACGGTCACACTTCAAAATCAGCAAGAGTGAGTCACTTGTGCCGTTGTGAACCTGTTGTATTTGGCAGGAGGAGAGCCCTAGGTACCCTTGTAATATTTGAGCACAACTGGGGACCCTGTCTTGAAACTTCCAACCTCATAGGAGGATATAGCTCTGAAATCCCCCCTGAGCCTATTGCTCAGAATTGGGAGACAGAGCCATTGTTCTGGCCCTGGTCCTAAGGCCTCATGTAAGGTAGCCCCATGGTAATTTTTCACAATCACCTGTGAGAACCATGCCCAGGCGTAGTGACATTTCTGGGGCTGTGAGGCCCCTTTCTGTCTCAGAGCCTGAGCTATATTAGCAGGACTTATTTTATGATTGCCTCCTTCAGGGAATGATGACTGGCTGGGCTGTTGGGGTCATCACATGAAGTCTCCTGGTTTCCGATCCATTCGAGAGCATCAGAAGGTAGGGTTCTTTCTGAGGAGCTAGCTGTCCTATGGATTAGGCCAGAATGAGGGTGCTGTTGGGGTGGCAAAGGGCAAAGTGGGAAGAAGAAAGAAAGCGCAGAGAAGTGAGGAAGGTTTATAAAGGAGAATTCCTATAGAGGGTATAGTGGGAAATCCTGACAAATCGCATGCCTGTCTAGTTCTGCTATACTTGGAGCAGCTGTTGGTTCTCACAGATGCTTTTCACTCTGTCTTGAGGCACTGTCTGATTTCAGTTGGTTTTGTTTCCCGTAACCACTGTCTCCACTCCCTCTCCATTGTGTATGTAAAGAGACTTCTGGGGTCCTGTTGGAAGGAATGGGTCCTCTTGCCCCCACACTCCCTAAGGACCTGGTGCTTTTATCTCCTTGCCCCATATGCTATCATGGAAAAAGATTTAACAGCTTTTTCCTTTGCACTCAAGGTGACTGTCATGTCTTAGTGACTTTTGTGTTGTTTGTGCTCTAATCTTTTTTGGTGAGTACTCAGTAGTTGCACTGGTAGAGGCACTATTATTAGATGGTGCCAGAAAGGTGGAATGGAACGTAGACTGTTGTTGAAGGTGTTGGAATGAGGTTTTGGGTCTTGTCATCTGCTTCTTGGTCTCATGTCTGCCCTTTCCCTCTGCTTACTTCTTGTCCCTTCTGTAGCTAAACCACTTTCCAGGCTCCTTCCAGATTGGGAGGAAGGACCGGCTGTGGCGGAATTTGTCTTGCATGCAGAGCCGCTTTGGCAAGAAGGAGTTCAGCTTCTTTCCCCAGTCCTTTATCCTGCCCCAGGATGCCAAGCTCCTGCGAAAAGCCTGGGAGACCAGCAGCCGCCAAAAGTGGATTGTGAAGCCAGTGAGTGGGGCAAAAGGAGTAGATAATGGGCTGAGAAGGGGAGCAGCAGAGCACTGTGCCTGGAGCAAATCTTGTCTCCTTTCCATTTTACTTGTAGCCAGCATCTGCTCGAGGCATTGGCATACAGGTCATTCACAAATGGAGTCAGCTCCCCAAGCGTAGACCTCTGCTGGTACAGAGGTAAGCCCTGCTAGCTCACATCCCTCTCCCCATCTCCCCTCACCCACCACACACACACTTAGTCTCTGAGTTAACCTTCTTCTGATCTTATTCTGCCTTTGGACCTCCCAGCCAAAAACCTTCCTTAGCCAAATGTTTTGGGGTCTTCTTGAGGATGGTTAGCTGCCATTCACCATAGCTTGGTTTCTCACCAAGTCTCATCTAATGTAGTCTGATGTGCTCTCTATAGGTATCTACACAAACCCTACCTCATCAGCGGCAGCAAATTTGATCTGCGGATCTATGTTTACGTCACTTCTTATGATCCTCTACGGATTTACCTCTTTTCAGATGGACTTGTTCGCTTTGCCAGTTGCAAGTATGTGGAAGTGGTGAGGTGTCCCCCTGACAGTTTGGGAAATTTGTTCTCCTCAGGAGGAGGATACCAAACTGAAAAATAACAAATATCTTTTGTTGGCAAGAAGGAAGGTGAGAGGGAATGGGAAATGTAGAGATATTCTAGTTTACTGAATCTGAGTAGGGTCTCTGAGGTGGGCCAAAGGAGATTAGTTTACCTGTGTTTTTCTAGAACTTTGCCAACAAATGCCCTTCTCAAGCTATGCTCATATCCTTTATCTGCTCCCTGGGTAGTATTTGATTTGGCCTGTCTGTTGCTTTCTCTTGCCCTTTTACTTCTGCCATTCTTCTCACGCAGGTATTCCCCTTCCATGAAGAGCCTTAGCAACAAGTTCATGCACCTGACCAACTACAGTGTCAACAAAAAGAATGCAGAATACCAGACCAATGCAGATGAGACGGCTTGCCAGGGTCACAAATGGTACTAAGGGGGCAGTGTTTCCTCATCAATTGCCAGCATAGAGCTTTGGGTCTGAAAGGTTCAGGGCAGTGGTTGGGGATTATTAGTGTAGTGTTCATGAGTTACATAAGCACTTGTCACTTCAGAATTGGCCTGTTTGCATCAAGATGCATCTCTCAATTCAAAATGTCAATGGGAGAGATGAGTAAAATGTCTTTAACCTTTTATTTTTTTCTCTTATCATTCATTTCTAGGACATAACCCCAGATATTCCCTCCTCCTCCCTCTGCAGGGCACTGAAGGCTTTGTGGCACTATCTGAGCCAGAAGGGAATTAATAGTGATGCCATCTGGGAGAAGATAAAGGATGTTGTTGTCAAAACCATCATTTCGTAAGTCTCACTGCCACTTGGGGTATGGGGGGGAAGCCACTGAATCCTCATACTTCTCATTTTCTCCCCGACCCCCACGCTCTGCTGTTCAGTGTCTGTTCTGTGGTTCAGTTTTGATGACAGACAGAATAGGAATGAGTAGTTAGAATTCTGCTCGTTTACCAAACTTCATCCAGAGAATGGCCCAGCTCATCCCTTTATAGCCATGGGTGTTTTTTTGGTTGTGGCAGTTTGAGATGGTCTTATGTAGCCAAGCTGGCCTCAAGTGCCTCATCCTCCTATTTTCAGTTCTGTAATTAAAGGTATGCACCCCCATGCCTGGTTCTGAAGAAGCACTTTTTAAATTTCATTTATTTATTTATTTATTTATTTATTTATTTATTTATTTATGTACTTGTGGTTTTTTTTGAGACAGGGTCTCCCTGTAGCCCTAGCTGACCTGGAACTTGCTATATAGACCAGGCTGGCCTCCCGAGTGCTGGGATTAAAGAAATGCGCCATTATGCCGAGCCCTGAAGAGACACTTTTGAAGACAAAGTTGCTTCTGTCTTCCTCATTCTAGACCACTTTACTGGCTGGGCAGCTCTAGGTGTAGCCTCCTCTGGGAAGAGCTGGGTTGAATACTTCTTATCCCTGTGACCAGGTCAGAGCCCTACGTGACCAACCTGCTCAAGTTGTATGTCCGGCGACCCTACAGCTGCCATGAACTCTTTGGTTTTGACATTATGCTGGATGAGAACCTTAAGCCCTGGGTCCTGGAAGTCAACATTTCCCCAAGGTAGATGGTATTTTCCATTTACTCAAAGTAGAATCCATCCTTTGTTCTCAGAATCCTTGTCACTGTAGTCTTGGTGACGTCCCTCCATAGTCTATATTTACTGACTTATCCATTCTTTGTCATTATTTTAAAGTTCTTTGAGAATGGAGAGAGGTGATTAAAAGTTGTTGATCCCTCCTACTTTCCTTAGCAAACCAACGTCATGGGCAGGCTTACCAACCTGAGTGATGGTATTTGTTGTCTCTGAGACAAGACTCTCGGGAAGGTGCACATGCATTTGGGTATTGCTGTTCTGTTTGATATAAAGAAGCCAGGGAATAATGGAGTCTAAGCCCTGCTTTGGATGTGCCACCAGAAATGGTTCTGGAGTGTTCCTTTGACCTGTTTTGCATTCTTTCCTTAAAGCCTCCATTCCAATTCTCCCCTGGACATCAGCATCAAAGGCCAGATGATCCGTGATCTTCTTAACCTGGCAGGCTTTGTTCTGCCCAATACAGAAGATTTCATTTCCAGTTCCAGCAGCCCCAGCAGCTCCAGTGGCTCCAGCACCAGGTCTGCCTCTCCGCTTCCTGAGGTTGGGCTGACAGCATGAGCAGCCCTTTGGACTTCTGGGAGAGAATGGTTTCTATACTCTCTTGCTTTCTTGGTCTCCCTTATGGTTACTCTGTTCATGCATAACACTGCCACAAAAGTACCCCTCAGAGTAAGTTTGGTTACTTCAGTCTCCTGTGCAGAAATCTCCACAGGGGGCCTGAGGATCAAATTTAAAGCCTTTACCAGAACATTTGAGTCTCTAGCCTCCTTTTCTTAGTATGTATCTCTTAATTCTTCCTGTTTCTGGTGCCCTGGCAGGTCATTAAGGACTTGTTGGTTCAGTTTCCTCTCATAAATTTGCTTCTTGCTGCTGACCCACAAGTGTCTTTTCCTCTGCATATGGGGTTTCTTCCTTCTAAGATGCCCCTTCACCAAGGCCTAGAACTTTATGAAGCTAGCTCAGTTTAGACTTTTTCCTCCATACCCCAAAAGCATCTGAAGCTGTTCTTGAGGAGAGGGAGCGACTATTTAGTAAGTACCTGGGGTTGGTAAGGAAATATCTGTGGCATATCTACCCATAATCCTTGAGAGTTAATATTAGTATTGTGGTTTACAGATGAGGATACTGAAGATTCCTAGGACAAAATGATTGATCTAGGACCATTCAGCTCAGGACAGTGAGAAAGTGCAATGTAAATTCTGATTAGTACCTGGCACCTGTGTACACCTGTAGTATACTTGTGATCCTAGCATTTGGGAGGCACAGGCAGGAAGATCACAAGTTAGAGGCTAGGCTGGGCTACATAGTAAGACTCTATCTCAAAAAACAAAAATAAAATACAACCAAAAATAATCTGATTTGTTTGGTGGCAAACTTACTTTGCCCACTGTATATTGTGTGGATGCATACTTGGCCCTGTCCTGTAGTTACTGTCGTCTGATTTACTCTACTTGCCATACTGTAAGCTTTTTGGAGGCAGGGACTCCTTTCCAGTCTTTTTTTTTTTTTTTTTTTTAAAGAAATGACATTTATGTAATCATGGATTGTGTGTGTTTGTCTGCACATGTGCCGTTGTGCATGTGTAGAGGTCAGAGGACAGTCAGAGGGAGCCAGTCTCTCCTACTATGGGGGTCCCAAGAATTGAACTCAGGGCATCAAGTTGGTGGCAAGCACTCGTACCCACTGAGCCATCTTGCTGGCTTTCTAGTCATCTTTGTATCTCTCAGCAGTGATCGTAGCCAGGTATAGTGGCTCATGTCTAAAATCTCAACACTCAGGAGGCTGAAACAGGAATATTACCTTGAGTTCAAGGCTAGCTTGGGCTACATAGTGAGTTCTAGGCCAGCCTGAGCTACAGATTGAGACCCTATCAAGAAAACAACAGCAGCAAAAAAAAAAAAAAAAAAAAAAAATTGGGCGCTGGAGACATGGCTCAGTGGTTAGCACTTTCTTCTCTTGCAGAGGATATGGGTTCGGTTCCCAGCACCCCCTTGGTGGTTACAGCAGTCTGTAACTCCAGTTGCAGTCCCGGGATCACCATCCTCTTCTGGCCTCCGTGGATATTGCATTATGGTGTACTTACGATATGCAAGCAAAACACTAAAATAAAAAGAAATAAGTAAAAAAAATTAAATGAAAACAAAAAAAGTGAGACAGTGATCACAGTACATGGATAATGACACTGAAGCCTCAGACTCTTAAGTCTCTTGCCCAGGGTACCACAACCGATGGGGCAGAGCTGGGTTTATAGGAGGAGTTCTTTAAATTAAACTAGACTTCTCTCTTTCTCTTTTGTCAGATTTATGGGTCTTTGTTCTTTCAGTTCTTCCATGGTACTTGGTTGTGGGTGACAAGCTGTTTGAGTAGAGTGTATTTTAGTGTGGTCTACTTACGGGACAGAGATACCTCCATGGCCTTCATCTGTGATTGGGAAGGGGTCCTCTTGGGCTGGGCTCTCTCTAGATATCTAGCATGGGAAGCTGCTGACTTGCCTTTTGCTTTTTGTCCACCTCCTATCTTAGCCTGCCAAGCTCTCCCAGGGACAAATGCCAAATGACTCCGGAGCATTTCACTGCACAGAAGATGAAGAAAGCTTATTATCTGACCCAAAACACTCCTGACCAGGTAGGAAACTGATCTTCCCCCTAGTGCTAACAGCCCTTAGAAAACATTTGAGACCCCAGGGAAATCAGTTTCCCCTGTCTAGAGAAGGGTTTCTTACCAAGAAATAGGATCCTGTGATACACAGATTTGTCTGCACCTGTGTCATTCTGGTCACTCACCATGTTCTTTTTTTTTTTTTTTTTTTTTTAAAGGGTTTTTTTTTGGTTCACAGTTTCAGAGTTTTCAGTCCATATTTGGTTGGGCTTTTGCTTTGGGGTCTGTGGCAAGGCAGAACATCATGGTGGGAACATATGCTGGAAGAAATTTTTTTATCTTATAGCAGAAGGGAAATGGGGGTGGGGGTGGAGTGGGGGGGGGAGATGGGAACTCTTAATACCTCCTTCCAGGACATGCCCCAGTGACCTACCTTCCTTCTACTAGGCCCGTCTCCTAAAGGGTCCACTTCTTCCTAGTGGTACTACAGCTGGCAACCAAGCCTTTTAACACACAGCTCCAAACTGTAGCATTCAAATTCTCTAAATTTTGCCTAGCATCTGAATACACAACAGGCCCCTTACAGTGAGTAAGCCTGTGATGGATCAGGGAAGAAGAGGTGCTTAGGTATACAGGAAGGGCCTGGACTCTAAGGGAAGCATAGTGTTTAAGAACATATCTGTCTGTCTGTCTGTCTCTCTGTATCTTTGTTGGTCTCAGTCCTGGTCTGTTTCTTTCTCTCTCTCTCTCTCTCTCTCTCTCTCTCTCTCTCTCTCTTTCTCTCTCTCTCTCTCCCCCCCTCCCCTCTTCCCCCCCTTTCTCTCTGTATGTATGTATGTATGTATGTCTGTCTGTCTGTCTCCCTTTTTCTCCAAGGTAGTGAAAAGGATGGATAAGAGGAATATAACTTCAGGTCTTTTAAAGATTTCAGCCATGGACAAATATCTCAACCAGCTTCTCCAGCTCATGCACACATTTGTGTAGGAAAATAGAATGAAATAAAATAAAAGAAGTGTGGTCAGCATGCCAGCCAAGTCTATCAAACATCAAATTTCTAAATCCAGAGCGTCCATAGAGTGTGAAAATAGTTACATTCTGAATTTCATGGTAAAACCAACAACTACCTCTATGTAGCTACATACACATTTGGCCTTTTTTTTTTTTTTTTTTAAAGATGTTTTCTTTTATAATCACTATGTTCTTAACACAGTGATGTAGTGATGAAATCTTGTCAGAGTGCTCTGCCTTTTTGGACTTCTTTTTCTGAGAGGCACAGGGAAACCTGGGAGACTTGAGCTTCTCAAAGCAGATGTGTGGGCTGGTGTGAGAGAGGTAGGCACAAGGCTGCCAAATCTCAGTTCCTGGACCCCATCCTTACCTCTGTCTAACACACCACTTCATATCAGCCCCAGTGGTTCCTTGGCTCCAGCCAAGAGAGTGTTTTCCTCCACCAGCTAAGTTCATTGGATTTAGGAAGGGATGAGGTACAGAGCTGGTACAGCAGGTAGGGTCAGTGGTCTCTTCAGAGTCCTGAAACCCCAGGACCCCAGCATTCTGCTTTCTGTCCTCCAGCTTCTTGATTCTCTGATTCTGGTTTACATTGTCAAATCTTTCTTCCTGTCCCTCGGGCTATAGGATTTCTATGCATCTGTGCTGGATGTCCTGACACCAGATGATGTTCGGGTTCTGGTTGAGATGGAAGATGAGTTTTCTCGTCGTGGTCAATTTGAAAGAATATTTCCTTCTCGAGTATCTTTTCGCTATCTCCGGTTTTTTGAGCAGCCACGGTATTTCAACATTCTCACCACCCAGTGGGAACAGAAGTATCATGGAAATAAGCTCAAAGGTGATGTGCCCTCCTGCCCCCAGGAGGCCATTATTTAGTGACAGATTAAATTTCATTAGACCAAGAAATGGGTCTCTGGAAAGGAAGTAGGCCAATTGATTCCTACTTGTTAAGTCCCAACCCTGCTTATCTTGTCCTAGGAGTAGATCTGCTTCGGAGTTGGTGCTACAAAGGGTTCCACATGGGGGTCGTCTCGGACTCTGCTCCACTGGTGAGCACAGATTCTTCTTAGGCTCCTCCCTCCTCTGCTTTAAAAGTGCATCATGATTAGGTTGTAGGTACCATTCTCTCCCTTCTCTCCCAGGCCCTGTCTCTCTCTGTGTCTGTCTTTTCAAGGATGTAGTTGTTTTTGAATTCATTTTATTTTATATGTTATAAATGTTATACCTGGATGTATGTAAGTGAACCTATGCTATACAGTGCCTGCGGAGGCCAGAGAGGGCATTAGATCTCCTGGAACTGGAATTAAGGATGGATATTAGCTACTGTGTGGGTGCTTGAATTCAGACCCTGGTCATAAGAGCAGCCAGTGCTTTTAACCTCTGAGCCATCTCTCTAGCTCCAAGGATATAGTTGTTTACAGAATGCACTGGATGCTTGTCTTTGAAGGATCAAAAACTTCTTGGTAGCTTCAATTTATTGCCTGTTTCAGGAGAGAACTAAGAGTTACCACAAGAGACCATGATGTAGAATAGAGGAGGGGAGAGCCCTGTGTTCACGCAGAGGCAGAACTGAAAAGGAGTCCAAGACTCAGCTGTCCTACCTGGTCTCAGCCTGGCCCTTTTGCTTCACTGCTTCCTTTGTTCCTAGTGGTCTATGCCAACATCACCTGTGACTTCATCAAAGGGTGATGGGACACCCAGTGCTGTCAACAAACCAGAGCTCAGCAGGTCAAGGTGAGTGCTCATTCAGCAGGGAAGGCTATTGAGTTGAGTTTCTTTCCTCTCTCCCAAGGCTGACAGTGAGAGGAACATTCTCCACTTGGGTGTTGGTAAGAGTATCCAAATATGCAACCGTAGTATCTTTGTGGTGGCTCATGGGATGCCCAACCAAGAGTCATCTGTAGAAACAGTCACTTTTAACTGTATCCTTTGACTGTGGGAAATCCTGAGGCCTCTTACCCTTACCTACATTTTACCCTTTTGCTTGAGATCTCATGCTGTCACATAAATAAAATGTATTACATGGCTATTAGTATATCCTGATAGTAGTCTACAGCACTGTAATGCTGTGAATACTTGCCTCAGACTGTGAGGGCAGATTACAGGTGAGTTTCAGCCATGTTTTTCCCTTCAGAAAACACAGCTGCTCTGAGGGAAAACTGCTACCCTCTGAAGGTAGGACCATACCCAAGTCTAAGAAGACTCAAGTTGACCCTATCCTCAGGAAGCCTTCTTCCTCAAAGGACACTGTGGACACCAGCAAAGAGCCCAGCCTCTCCACCCAGGTGTTACCTCTGATCAAAGACTCTGGGCAGACTTTGAGAATTTCTGCTTCCCAGTTAACCAGTGACTCCCTGAATGCTGTGAGCCCATGACTGGCTTCCTGCACAGGAGCACTGGTGTCAGCTACCTCATGGGAACCGGCCTGCTGACCAGCCTGAGCCCCTGCCCCCTCTACTTTGTCCCTCATCAGAGTATTTTTTGAAGTGGTTCTATTGTAGATAGGGGCAGCTGGAGGGCTGGAACGGTGGTAGTGGGGAAAAGATGAGGAAGGTTCACCCTCTGTCACATGCTTGCCTGCCTGGCACTTCATATCTCAGTAGAGAAGCCAGTGATGCCAAGCAGCCTTAAAGCAGGGTTTGGTTTCTACTTTGAGAGCCATGTATGATTTATTTGAAGCCTTGGTACAGAGCTTGAAAGGAGAAAATGTGTGGAACACATGAGGCAGAAGTAATTGAGAGGGATTCCTTGATGGCCCAGATTTCCTCAGGTTCTGTCTTCTCATCCGGTCCTGAAGAGTCACTTTCAGAAACCTTTAGACTTTCTCAAAGACAAGCAGAGAGACCGTGGCATGCTGAGGCCATTTCCTGGTGACCTTCATACCCTACCACCAGCAAGTAACCCTTCCGTTCTAATCTCATATCACCACTTCTCAAAATTTCTAGGCCTCTCTTATAGATATTCAACTGCTGGGTTTCTGTGAGACTCTAAACTATGAATCTTCCAGGGCTCCAGTGAAGGATTCCAGGCTATCCCAGTTGCTGTTATCTAGAGGGAGGGTGGAAGGAGCTGTTTTCTCCTCACTACCTGGAAGTCTTGGTGTCAGTTTTGATTTAGGCACTCTGGTGGCTTGGCAGGCAGGTTTCAGCACAATCTTACAGGACAGACTTCTCAACCCTAAAAGCTAATACTCAGCCACTACCTCCCTCCTAGACTCAGTAAACACTGAGCACTGAATAAATGTTGACTGAGTCAGCTGTGTATATAGTTCACCAAGAACATGGGTATCTCAACCAGAAATGCTGCTTCTCCCCCCAGTATAGGGAAGTAGACCTGAGGGAAGCCCAAAGTGGACGAGTTTGGATCAGGAAAATTGTTTTCATTGCAACTATGGTTCTCCCTTAGCCCAGCACCCCCCAGTGCTCACTCCTTCCCAGGCCATGCAGTTCCTCTAGTTTTCTAGCAAGGAGGAGGGCAATCAAGAAGCCAGTTGGCCCTGTGTCTGATAAGCAGAGTTTGCCCTTTGGCACACCAAGCAGGAAACCCAGCACCTCAGTCTCTCCTTGGTTTTCTCTTCATTCCTTTGAACTTCAGAAAGATGGAGACTCCTTAACTTCATGGCCGTAGATTCCTATGGCTGGTTGGCATGGAGCCCTGGAAATATCAGAGAGATTTGAGTTCAAGGCCACAGAGTAGGGGAACATGAAGGCCAGTCAGTCCTAAGGCCATGTTGACAGTTGTGAAGAAAGCTTGATGGCAAAGTCCAGGGTGGTGCCTCCCGCTCAACAGTAGAAACTTAAAAGTTGGACCCAGTGAGAGCCCTAGACAATCTATTCTGTTGTCAACAGAGAGAACTCCCTCCTATCCTGGAATACAATATTCTGATGCACATGTGACAAGGGATGCAACATCTGCCTTAGACAGTAAGCTCCAGCTTAGCAGCTTTCTTGTGACTGGTTCCGATGCACATCATAGGTACGGCAGCTCACTTGAGCTGATCTCCTTGGAAACAGACTTCAGTTCTTTAGCCTGTCCTCTGAGATTCCCTCTATTGCACAACAATCTGTTTCCATTCCCATAACTGGAGAAGGGACCATTTTTGTAGGATGGGAATGGGGGAGGGCTGAGGGGGGTCACTAGGAAGCTCACTGATGAAATACAGTGCGCTTAGTACTTTCAAACACATTGATACATTGACTGTTGTTTCATTTTGTGTTTTGAGGTAAGGACTCACTTTGTAACCAGGCTGTTCTGGAATTTGTGATCCTCCGTGCCTCCTAAGTGCTGGCATTATCAGTGAGAATCATGATGCATAATTTTCATCTGATAAGTATTTTGGCAATGGAAGAGTGGGACTTATATAACACATGTACCTTTTACTCTCAAGTGAGTAAAATCATGTTGTTATTCAACATTTAGCATTGAATAGTCAACAACATATATATCATTCAATTGAGTACGGAATTTAAAAAAAATTTGTTTTTGAAAGTTGTAAGTTTGGGAGTGTTAGCCAAATGCATGTTTATCAGAATAAATCAATTTTCCCAAGTTGATAACTTGCCCAGCCTCTGTTTGGAGGAAGGGAAACACATGCTCCTGAGACAAAGAATGAAATGCAGGGTATTTTTGGACCAGCAGGGTAAGGACTTTGGCCTGGGGATGGAAGGGTGCTTCACTGTCCCCTTCAAGTCCACTTGACATTGAGTGGAAACCAAGTTTCTTTGAGCACTAATGAAGAGAGAAAATAATGTGAGTCTCAGGCTAAGCTCAAATCCCAGTTCTGACCTTGTGTGTGCCTTGTGTGTGCCATCTAATGTTTTTTGAAGTCTTTGCCTTTATAAAATGAACATGATACCTGCCTTTTGGAGTTGTGAAAATTTAAGCCAAACACAAAAGTACTCATCTTTTGGTTTATTATCCAAGTGCTGTTCTGTGCAATAAATCTATAAACCTTTCCTTGAAGGAAGATCTTTCAGAAGAGGCCAGGACAGGGTCTAGTTATCTCGCCACCACCACCTTTCTCCCCAGTGCTCACAGAAACATGGTGTTCATGAGTCCTTTTATATTGTTGCTCCAGTGGGGATTTCTGTCTTTGGTTAAGTACTTCAGAGCATACAGGTTCCCTAGGGTAGGGAGGGGAGCGCATTAAATAGAGGCTACGCCTTTACTTTAAAGGCACGACTTTAATCCTAGCACTTGGGAGGCAGAGGCAGGTGGATCTCTGTGAGTTCAAGGCCAGCCTGGTCTACATAGTTCCAGGACAGCTGGGGCCACAGGGAAACCCTATCTCAAAAATATTAGAGGCTGTGAGTTGATGATTCCATTATCCCAAAGCTTTGATTGAAAAAGGAGAATAAGGAAGAGTGTCTGAGAGATTAGAAACACAGAAGACAGAGACCTTGAGTGAAGCAGGGGCCAGAGTACTGCTGTGGACCTAGCACCTGTACCAAGGGGCAGTGTCACTGCAGGTCCTTAGGGTGGCAGGCTGTTTGACTGAAAGTGACTTCCCATCACCCTAGCAAAGAACATTCCTGGTGGCTTCTGCAGCAGTTTCATCCCTGCTGAGGGCCATGAAGGGGACTGATTAGCTGTATGGCCCTTTCTACTTCCCTTGGCTGAGTTTTTTTTCTGGGATAAGGCAATTGCCAAAGCTGCCTGGGAACCTTCCCTGTTGGCTTCCTCTGGTTCTAAAGGTTCCCTCTGACTATGTGGGTTTCAGGCTAACATTGGGACAGAGTATAAAGAAACAACTTCAGTGTCTGCTTTGGGCCTGAAAACAGTGGTTTTGAGAGAGCCGCATCTTGTCACTTGGGATTTTGATGCAGCCTCTCCAAAGACCCAATGCCTTGAACAGTCTCCTGTAAGAATTTACTCATTGGTACCCCTGAGGTGCTGAACCTGTATATGGACCTGTGCAGGCTCATTTGACTCCCCTTCATCAACTTCTGATCAGTGGAGGCAGCAAGCAGTCTTCAACTTGTCTTAGCCGATTTCTCTCATGGGTGAAACATGACCAGAAGGATCAATAGCAGTGTGGTATTCTAAGACCCATTTGTGCCTTAATCAGAATGGACTGAGATGCATGGAATACCAGAGACTGCCACAGGAGATGTCAACATTTTAAATATTACTGTATTCTAACTTTAAATTACTAACTTGGGATATCATCTACCTCGGAGGTATGGGGATTAAACTGGGTGTAAAACATCTAAGAAAGTGCCTCACATACATGGTGCAGATTTCAGGTCAGTCGTAAACAGATCAAAATGACCACAAAATAATTTCCTCCTTGAAGTAACGGTAGCAGCAACAGTGTTAGCATACTATGAGGGCACCATGTTACTATTGCAGATCTGTGGTAAAGGACGCAGCCAGCCCTCTGTCAATAGCAGATCAAAATGTACTTAGGCCTGTGATGGTTTTGTGTGTGTATTGGACATGAACAGACTTGTTTTTCTTGCCAGTGTTCCTTAAAAATACAACTATCTATTTGCATAATATTTACATTGTATTAAGGTATGGTAAGTAATCTATACTTGATTTAAAATCTACAGGAGGTACAGGTTAAATGCAGCAAACATTACACCATTTTATGTAAGTGAAGCATCTATATTTTGGTATTTAGGAGATTCTGGAACCAATCCCTCATAGGGACTGAGGAACAATTGTTCTTTGATTCTATCCATGGGAGATTAGAGTTGAGGATATAATCAAGATAATTAGCTTAGAAAAATTAGAGCCCTTATTAGTCATCAAGAGGTACAGCTAAAACATTGAGATACTGCTTTCACTCTAAAAGGCCCAAAGACTGCAAGTGCCCCATGTGTCAAGAAATGTGGAAAGACTGGAAGGAACTATATTGCTGGTGTGAATGGAAAGAGCATTAGAAAACACAGTTTCTTAAAAATGTATGACCTAGCAATTCCATTCCCGCAAGAAAGTGCTCACTGCAGCTTTTATTCATAGTAACAAAACTTTGGAAACAACCCACATGCCCAGCAATTAATGAACAAATTTGACACATATGTCCAGTATATACTACTTAGATATGGGAAAGGAAAAACGATGGATGCAATGACAGGGGTGACTCTCAAGAGCCTAATGCTAAGAAAAAAACCAGGAACAATAGTATATGTTTTCTCATTGCACTCTAGAAAGGAAACTTGTCATAAAAGGCAGGGATTGCCAAGGAATGAGGGAAGGGGACTGGGGGATTGACTGTAAAGAGGCACATCAGAAATATTCTTTGTCTTAATTGTGGTTTTAGTAACAACTATTCAATTGTCAAGGCTCATAAAATTGTACACTTAAAATGAATATATTGTGTATAAGTAAATAAGGCTGATTTTTATTTTTGCAATTCTGGGCCTCTAACCCAGGATCTCACACAATGTTAAGAAAGTGCTTTACCACTGAGCCACATCCACTGACCCAAAGCTGATTAAGAAACAAAATATATACAAGATAATATTTTGGGAGACAGAAATTAAGGTGACACCAGCATAATTAAGACTGAAAAGGTAACTGTGACCAGTTGGAGAGTGTTAAGCAGTTGCAACTTGTGACTGCATGAATATAAAGTGCAATCACTACTGAATACTAGTAGCTTATTAGAAAATATTCATTGTGCAAAATGGTGAGTTTCATCATGATATTTTTATCATGCAGATTTACCTCCCACTGCCTTCTGGTCCCCTTCTTCACAGAGAGTCCCCCTTCTACCTTCATGTGTGTGTTTAAGTCTAGGCTCCACTAATGAATAAAAATGTGATATTTTGTAGGGTTTTTGTTTGTAGCCTAGGCTGGCTTTTAACTTATGTAGTTCAGCTGGCTCAGACTTGCAGCAGTCCTCCTGCTTCAGCCTTCCAAGTATTGGAATTACAGGTTCATGCCACCACATCTGAGCTAGACTGACTTAGGTTAACATGATGTTCCATCCATTTTCCTGCAAATGACTAATTTTGTTTATGGCTGAATAAAACTCCATTGTGCATCTGTGGTACATTATCAGGTGATGGACATCTAGGCTGGTCCATAATTTGAGTATGGTGCTACACAATAAATGTAAAGGCATCTGTTGTATGCCTAGATTCCTTCAGGTATATTTCCTAGAGTAGTATAGTTAGATCATAGAGTAGTTCTAGTTTTCTGAGGAACCTCCATCCTGACTTCCATAATGGCTATGCTGCTTACATGTCTGTCCACAGTGTGTATTTCTCGTCCTCCACATTCTCAATAGTATTTGTTTTCTTAATGATAGTCATTCTGACTGGGTGAGAAACAATCTCAATATAGTTTTGATTTGCATTTCCCTGATAGCTAAGGATGTTGAGCATTTTTTGATATATTAGCTACTTGTGCTTCTCTTGAGAACTGTCTGTCCACTTTAGTTGCCCATTCATTGATTAGCTTATTTGGCATTGGTGTTTTAATTTTTTTTAGTTCTTTATATATTCCAGGTTTTAATTCGATCAGATGTGTAGTTGATGGAGACTTTGTGCTCTGTGTACTATAGTGTTAAAAACATGTTTTCTTATTCTAAACAAATTTCATTAAACACCAGAAAGTATAAAGAAGAAAATAAAACTCACAATTTGTCACTATTTTATATGTATTCTTCCAGTTGTGTGTGTGTGTGAGAGAGAGAGAGAGAGAGAGAGTTGAAATGGTTTCATAACTTTTGTCCCAATGAAATGTCAGTACTTTAATAAAACCATGCTCTTTCCACTACTTCTTGTCTCAGTACCTCTTGTTACTAGTGAATTCTTTTGTTTCAAGTTAGGGAGCCTTGCTGGGTATGGTGACACATACCTGTAATCCCAGGTAGAGGCAGAAACAGGAAGATCACACAACTTTTAAGGCCAGCCTTGTGTACATAATGAGTTTCAGGCCAGCCTGGAACCCTGTCTCAAAAACCAAAACAAAAGATAGGAAGAGGAGCAGCACCTCTGTGGTCCCCTTTGTATTGCAGACTCAGCCATGAAGGATGCAGTGGTTGTAGTATTTTGTGTCATTCCCTTCAGGGATGTGATGACACAGCAGAAGACAAAGGTAGTCAGATGTTTGCTTTGTAAAAGTTCATGTTCCGACGTTATGAGGCATTTAGAGAGAAAAATAAACGTTGGATTATTGACAGTTTTCCCTTCTGAAAAACAGAAGTCATCCAGTTACAGAACTGGGGTCTGGGGAAGAGTCAAGATGGGGTGCTTATAAGTACAGGAACTCTGTCTTTTGTCTTGTGCTGACCTTTCTAGCTACAAAGGTTGGGCCTGGTACTGGCTCAAAAATAGACTCATAGATTGATGGCCCAATAGAAGACCCAGGTTTAAAAAACAAAACGGGCTGGAGAGATGGCCTGGTGGTTAAGAGTACTGACTGCTCTTGCAGAGGACCCGGGTTCAATTCCCAGCACCCACATGGCAGCTACAAACCGTCCTTAACTCCAGTTCCAGGGGAATCTGACGCCCTCTTCTGACCTCCGCGGCATTGCACAACGGGTGCACTCAAATACATGCAGGCAATATACTCATACACATAAAGTATTTTTAAAAATAACCAGGCAGCTGTAACTAATTTCTGATAATGCCAAAAATGCACATTGGAGGAAAACAAAAAATGGTCTCCTCATACAAAGACCTCTATATAGAATGAAAACTTTAAAATTCTAAAAGAAATTAGAGGAGATGGAAGATGGAAAGATCTCTCGTGCTCATGGATTGGTAGAATTAACATAGTGAAAATGGCTGTATTACCTAAAGTGATCTATATAGAGTCAATGAAATTCCCATCAAAGTTCCAATGATACTCTTCAGAAGAAATCTGAAAATTCATGTGGAAGCACAGAAGACTGAATAGTCAAAGCAATCCCAAGCAGAAAGAGCTGGAGGTATCAAAATACCTGATCTCATATTACAGAACCATAGTGACAAAAACATGATACTTACACAAAACAAACATGTAGACCAATGGAAAAGGAGAACCCAGAAATAAATCCACGCATCTTCAAGCACCTGATTTTCAACAAAAGTGCAAAAAACATTTTGAAGAAAGTTTCTTCAACAAATAGTGCTGGGTGAACTGGCTTTCCACATTTAGAAGAATGGAATAGGATCCTTATCTCTACTAATATAAAAATCAGTGAGTCTTCCTTTCAGCACGTGGGAGGAAGAGGCAGGAGGATCTCTGTGAGTTCCAGGCCAGCTGGGGCTACAGGGAGGACAAAAAAACCAAAAAAAAAAAAAAAAAAAGGACCAAAGAGGAACAAGGACTTTCTGAAAAGACTCCAATAGCCCCCAAGGAACAATAGCAAGAAGTGACAAATAGAGTTTCACAAAACGAAAATATTTTTGTACAGCAGAAGAAACAACAGAATGAAAAGACAGCCCACAAAATGGAAGAAAATACTGGCCAGCTACTCATCTGATAAGGGAGTAATAGGATATATAAAGAACTCAAAAAATTTAAACACCAATAAAATAATCAGTTAATGGGCAAGCAGACTGAACAGTTCTTAAAAGTACAAATGACCAGTAAATAAATATTGAAAAAAAAGTCAACGTTTTTGGCTACTGGGGACATGGAAATTGAAATTGCATTGAAACTGCTGGTGTAATCCTCACACCTGCAATCCTAGCAATCAGGAAGTGAGACAAGAGCCTTCCCCAGAGTTCCCATGCCAGCCTGAGCTACAGTGTGAGAGGAAAAGAAAAACTACATGAGATTCCATTTCACATCAGACATAATGGCCATCCTTAAGCAAACAGCAAATGCTGGGTGTGGTGGCTCTTGCCTTTAATCCCAGCACTCAGGAGGCAGAGGCAGGTGGATCTCTGTGAGTTCAAGGCCAGCCTGAGCTATATAGAGAGTTTCAGGTCATCTGGGGCTACAGGGAGGCCATCTGAAAAGGACCGAAGGAAAAAAAACAGACAAAAAAATGCTGGCAAGGATGTGTAGAGACAAACTCATACGTTGGTGGAAATGCAAATTAACGGAGCTGCTATGGAAATCAGTTTAGAGGCTCCACAAGAAACTAAAGACAAAACTACCATATGAGTTAGCTATATCAGTCCTGGGAATATAAGCACACGACATCCATGTAAACCATACCCAATTATGGGACCAGTTTAGGTGTCCATCAATAGATGAATGGAAAAAGGAAATGTAGAATAGATACAGAATGAAGTTTTACTCAGCCATAAAAAAAGAATGATACGGCCTCTGCAGCTCTGCCCCCGCCTCTGGGCGCTGGCACTGGCACAAGTCTGCTCGGCCCTCTGAAGAGCCCCTCCCCTCCTGCCTTCCGAAAGATAATGGGGTACCGCCGCTGTGGCTTTCCCCTCTAACAATGCCAGCTGCGTCATCAGTGACAGATAGCCTCGCACAAAAGCATGTTCTCTGAGTTTGGTGTCAATACTTTGCTGGTGTCTCCAGAGTTGCACATTGTTGAATTCCTGGCCCTCTTCTCCGGCATTTTTCAAGTGGGTTAAAAACTGTTGATTGGAAAAGTGGAACGTGACCAAGTTCCCAGGAGAATTGTGACTTCTGTGTACTTATCAAGACTGGGTTTTTCCTCTCTTCATTTGAAAGTCCTTTACAACGAAAAACCAGAAGTGGGTTTGAGTGTTACGAATCTATTAAGACATTGAAGGAAATAATTTTAATAACCCTTTTAGACTTTCCCAGTGTATAGGGTGGTCCTGTTTTTACCTGCTCTTACCAG